TAAAAACTATGTATCGCTATCATCAGACAATGTATATATGATGGGTAATGCTGGACTTAACTTAGTTAATGCCACTCTCATCACAAAAGATGGTTACTTTAGTTTTTGCGTACCACTCTGGATCCTGTTTGGTTTTTGTGAGGATTACACACGTGTGGTTGTTAATGCTCGTCACGAATTGATTTTGATACGAGCGCGCAACGACAATAATTGTCTTACGGGAGATCCTGCAACGGAACCGAAACTTGAGTTATTCAAAATACAGTGGCGAATGCCGCACGTTACGTTGAACGAAGTCAATAAACTATCCATGCTGCGAGCTTTGGAAAGCGGACGATATCTGAATATGACTTTCCGTTCATGGGATTTGTACGAGTACCCGCTATTGCCTGCCACGACGAAACATTCCTGGGCTGTCAAGACTACGCCTTAGCTAGAAAACCGCGATATGTTATCTTTGCTATGCAAACTGGTAAAAAAAATGTCATGAAAACAAATAAAACTTTCTTTGATCAATGCAAACTAACCAATATAAAACTATATTTAAACTCTGAATTTTATCCATATGATGATCTGAACGTAGACTTTGACAAAAATAAGTCGCCATCTTGTATGATATGTTTACACGTTTCCGTAAATCTTATTATTATCAAGTGCATCACAAAAACAGTGAAACGCTATTCAATCTGAATGAGTTTAAAAATGGTTATACTGTAATAGTCATTGACATCACAAAAACAGTGAAACGCTATTCAATCTGAATGAGTTTAAAAATGGTTATACTGTAATAGTCATTGACTGTTCGCGACAAAACGACACCATCAAGAGCGGTCCTGTGGATGTGCGTTTAGAATTTGAACTGAAAGAGAATGCGCCCGAGAATACTTGCGCGTATTGTCTCATCATACATGATCGCGTGGTTGAATATAGCCCATTGTCAAACGTAGTGCGCAAGATTGTATAAATTGCTATATTGACAAAAAATAAAAAGACGAGATGTTTTGTCAAT